ACTTGCTTTATGAACTCCCGCTTTTCCATATATCTGAAGGTCCTTCCCCGTCGGGTCCTTAATTGTCGTGAACTCCTTAGTGGAGTGCCGGCCGTGCAGGGAATCAGGATTTTCCGCCCCAAGCCATGGCATGTTTCCTTTCAGAATGCCAGCCATTTTTCCCCGGATTGGTCATTGCTGGGTTTTGCATTAGTATTTTCAAGCTATGGCTTCATTATTCTGCCACCCGCTTCAGACGTCGTTTAGTGAGTTATAACCATTGTCTACCCCCAACCCCAACCTCGCAAGCACCACCCTGAACCGTTGGTCAATGGGATCAAATTCCAGTCCCGGAAAGTGCATGTATGCATAGAAACAAACAATGGTGACCACAGGACTCTGGGCCTTGGAAAGCAGATCTGTCAAAGAATACTAACCCGTTGGTGAAAGAAACCTCTTCAATTGATTGTCGACCACCCAGATGTCCTACCAAGATGCCTGGGAACTAACGTCACGCACGGGGAAGTGTCACAATACCGGGAAGTGACCCAGTTTCAGATTGCGCAATTGATAGGGATGTCAAAGCGTATCAACACTCCCAGAACATCAATTTTCAAGCTATCACAACAAAAGACATGCCTGAAGAACACCAAGAGAAAGAATAAATAGAGATAAGTAGAGTAGAGAAATGAAATGTCTGAAGAAAGAAAAAAAGTTAGATGAGACCAGTAAGGGGAAGAGGGGGGGGGTCATACAGGGTGGAGAAAAACTGGTGAGTCAATGGTAGACTTGCGAGTATGTAGGCTTATACGTAAGAGCAGAGTTGGTAGAAGTTGGCTAGATGGAGAGAGCAGTGGGGGAGGCTTTTGGAGGGGGGGCCGGCCTAAAATGATCACTGAAGACCATTCAGAATTACTGATATCTTCCAGTTCACTTTCATCACTGGAAACCTCCTCAGAATCCATTACCAGCACATGTGGAGTTTGTGCCAATGTGATGATATTTTTGCACCCCCACTGGGGCCTAGGTGTTGAGTGTTTGGGAGAAGGAGAAAGGGTAATTGCCAATTTTCTCTTAGCCTTTAATACTCCTTTCTGGACCCTTATAGGGGTGCTTCTAATCCCTTTTTGTGATGCCAATTAGACCTGTTTTTGTTCATCTTTTGCAAGGCGAGCATCCCTTAGCTCCATGAGTACTGCTCTATCCAGTACCCATGCTTCACTCAGCTTCCAGCGATCAGTTTTATTGTAGACCTTGTTGGTGCTTTAAAGCTTCAAGCTCAGATCGCGCCAAAGTTCTTTGGAGGCTATTTCCTCCTCCAACTGGTGGCCGAGGGAGCTCATTATCCCCTTCACACAATTAACAGTAGTGTCAGAATTGTCGAATGAGATATTAGCAAGTAGCTTGCCAGCAGCTAGTACCTAATGGTGTATATTGCAACTCCCACTAGGCTCTTTGATAATACCCTGAGTGTCCCTCAGCTTTTCTACTCGTGGATTGAGCTTGCTAAGAACCCACCACAGATTTAGAGGATGGATACCTGTAGATGAAAATGATTGGCGAATGTTGTGGGGTGTGAAGATAGCATGGCGGGCTTCAGTTAAAAATAAAATAAAAATTGACTTTTTGATTCCAGCGAGGTTTTGACCAGAGTGAATATAGTTGTCTACAGTGAGACCATAAAAGTATTGGTATGGACTAAATAGGCCTATATCCAGGGGTTGAAGTAAGGGGGTAGAATGGGGGGAAAGGTAAAGGAGAAGAGCATTATTTGAAAAGCATAGTGATACAAATTCAAATGTTATATGGGATCCATGGCCATCGAAGATAAGAAGTCGGGGAAGGGCACCACATCTCTTTTGACTTTCTGGAAGGAAAACCTTTCGCAACCACTCCATCACTAGCTGATCATCAGTCCAGCCCTTTGGCGAGTAGCTGAACTGGTATACCTTTTCCTTCTCAGTTAAGTTCTTATACCATCCCATGTAATGTCCCAAACCTTTGTTAATCACAAATGGTGACACTACTATTCCATCTCCTCCCATGGTCTCGATGACGGTTACCAGTTCCTGTTTCCCATCATGGGTTACACGGATATTATGCTGACCACACTGACACAGAACCTTCCCCTGAGAGGCTAATCCCATGAGAAATCCTTTTTCGTTTATATTGAAAATCTGGAACTCCTACAGGTTATGCTCTCTTATGAGTCGACCAAGTTTGCTAAAATAGTCCCGAAAGACCTCTGGATCATTGGCATGTGCCCGCTGTCGCTCCAACCAAGTGCTCAGCTTTAATGCCAGGTCTGGATACCTTTTAAGAAACTTGGCGATCCAGTTCCTTCTAAGCAGGAGAGGGGATGTTCCAGTTCTCATAGATTCTAAGTGAATAGCCATATCCTTAACCATATCTAGGTGTGGGGGAAAGCCAATATCGTCCTGCCTAAAGCACCACTTGACAATCACCATCTCCTCAGGAGATGTGAGCTGTTGCTACTCTTCAAGGGCTGCAGCTCGGGCTACTGTAGTACCCACAAGTCGTCGATAAAGGGTCCACCGGTTTACTTCAAAGGCTTCACTTGCCGCAGCCACGTTTGGCTCCTCTCCTGATTTTATTGCTCAAATTGCCCCTTGGAAACAGTCCTCATAGGCAGAATCGGTCTTCTTCACTGGTGCCATGGTGTTTGTTGTGGTATTGATCAGTTATACGGTTAGAAAGCGGGGGTTATGCATCCTCAGAACGCCTCATTTCGGCACATTCCGGCTTGTGTCACTTCTAGGTATTTTGTCACTTCCACGTGCGTGACGTTATATGGGGAAAAATAGCAAAATGCGCCAAAAACATATTAGGAGTGCTGTCTGCGACTAGCTACATCCTTTTTTAAAAAAAAAAAAATAGATGAGTTACGGCAAGAGCCCTCAGGAAACAGGAGAAGGTGCGATTGGTTTTCCAGAAACATTCAGATGCATGGGCGGTTCTTGTATCGCCCTTGGGGTGTTCATCCCATAAGCCAAACCAAGAGTTAGTTATCAGAGCAGGGGAGGGCGAAGGGCTGATAGTTCACATAACGCCACCAGAAGTCTCATACCGGCATTCCGGATAGGATTCTGACTGGGCTAGATAGCTTGATATAAGCTAGAGGCTAATTTTTCTCGTTGGTACCCGGGGTTATCGCTGCTCCCTTATTTATTCTAATTTGCCCATAACTTGAATAAGCCCAATGAATCGCATAAAAAAGATGTTATTATACCACACTACATGCTATCCTTTGACTATAAGTTTAGCATTGGCATCGAGCTTTAAAATTAATAGATAAAGAATTCTTGATATTTCAGTGGTCTCACCTGCAACTTGGCCTAAGCCAGCAATGACTTGGGGGTTCTGCTGTGTTGTGGGATTCCCCCTTTTGACCGCTATGGTACAGAGGGATCAAGAAACACAGGACGGAGATCTATCGGCCACATCACGAAAGTTGTCAACGCAGTTAACCGTAGGTACAGTACCCACAGGGCATCTACGTCCCACAGTGTCGTACCGACCCCCCCCGGCAGCAGAGGTTGGTGGGTATTCAGACACCAGTGTCAGGGCCAAAATCGCTCCCTAGCGACTGACGCCTTCCAAACATATACCCGTGTAATACCTCAAGATCAAGCAGCAGGCAAGCGGCAGGTGGCCACAAGCAATGAGAGAGCAGATCAAACCTCATGCAGAATCTATAGGGCAATTACTAGTGAAACAGGTATCTCAAGAGATATGGCTCAGGATATCACAGAATGCTAACCAGAGACTGTCGAACTCAATCCCTCACCACGAGCGTGAAGGGGGCAAGCGTTGAACAAGTACAATATCCAACATTTATTATAGTAACACTATTAGATTTAAATCCCGGAGCCATATTGGCTAGTATCACTCATGTAGCTGATTTGGGGCTCAGACCTCATACTGTTAATAAATATATTTGCTAAGCCAATTTTCTTGTTTTTCTTGCCCAGGGCAGGCGGCAGTAGGGGAGAAAAAATCAAAAGACGGAGAGATGGTGTGGAGAATGGAAGCAGTGGAGGAAGGAGGCTTTTCGAAACTTAATATGTACCTCACTCACCCGCCCACAACCCAACAGAGAACCTTCAGGCACCGTTCAAGTATAATTATTGGAAGACAGCCTGGGGGTCGCAGAGTTGGTTGCTTTATTACAGGAGGTATGGGAAGAACTTCTCTGGAAGCATGTTCAACAGCTAAACCAATGATATGTGTGAGCGCACCGTAGCTTGTACCATAAGCAATGGTGGGCCAATTACAACAATAAAATGTAATTTAATTCTTATTTTCTCATTTTAATTTCTCTGTGGTTTAACTTAGTATCTATGGGAGTGTTGTTCTGGAGATAGATGAAAGGGTATTGTCCGTAGCCACAAAGACCGGTATCAGGCTACCAAAATTTAGTGATCTCAATGCTGCGGGGCACCGAGTGATGGATAGTATGGATAGTGTTTAAGCAAGGTCTACCCAGTGAAATGCGTATACCCAAGTTATATGGTAAATACAGACTGTTAGTGGTAAAAGTGATAGTTCTGGATTTCGTTTGCAGTAGAACTGGAGAAGGACAAGAGAGGGTTTTGGGTGAAATTCGACAAAACCCCCAATGAATAAGGTCCTAAAATTTCATCAGGTCCTGAACGCTTGGTGTCCCTATGAATGTACTGTACTTGTGAATCGAGATACGAAACAAAATTGAAAATTTCGAGAACTATCGGAGTTAGTACATATTCTAGCGGAAAAGCTACAAAGTAGACCTTGATATCATTAGGAGGAGGCCATGCAGAATTCTACATCTTATGCTGTACTATATGATAATAGGGGAAAATTGGGGAAATAGATTTAATCGTTGCCTTGTGGCAGCTCGTCACGTATCATAGGTTTTTTTTTCCGTTTGCTTACGTCTTCCGCGATCCACCCTCGCACCTAGCATTCCCCGGAGGCCTCTGGGGCTTGTCATTTCCCCCGCTTCGTACCCTTTCGGCCATCAATACTCTCCCCACATCTCTCCCTCTCATCGGTCGTAGCTACCCCCCCTCCATTTTCCACCGCAATTCCCAACACCCTTTCTCTTCCGCTCCACCAGCCCACATCACTCATACAAAGCGTTTCCAGTGCTCAAACTCAAATATGGAGTCTACCAGTTTGAAACAATCTACCGGCGGTCCGACCATCCGTTACTCAATCAATGAACTTCTTGAGTTCCGCAGTTCACTAAGCTACGTTATTTGTCCAATTGATGAATTTACTCTAGTCGCGTGGGCAGAAGGACTACTTGACAAGGTAATAGGTCACATCCTGGGTCATCATCTGTGATGCCCTGAAAAAAACCCCTTCCCCAAAAGGAGTGTCATATTCAGGTTGATGGTTCCATATCTAGATAGGAGACTACGTACCGGACGAACTAGTTATCCGCAAGGAGTATGCCAAAAAAGTTATTGCCATGCAAGGTAAGCAAAACTAGCATGCGATTCCAACACCTATCCCCCCCCCAACCGTTCAAGAGTAGAAGAAAGAATAAAGAGCAAACACAGCAGGCGGCTAACCCTTTCAACAATGCATTGACAGAAGTAGAAGCTGAGATGCTATTGCAAAATGGTAGGAAGTGACAGAGGTGTCCGATGGCAGCTATCATCCAGGCCATCAGGTACTCTTTCTTTCTTACTGACTAATACATTTCTATAGAAATTATGGCAAAACGCAAGCCTGAGTACGCCGGTTTAACTTTTACGGATTTTTTAAATCTTGGCAAGTACGGATCTCCTCCGAGCAGCCAAGTGGGATCTGTCCCCGGTTCCCACCCCCAAAAAGCACAAGTGACACCGCCGTCTGTACAAGTAAAACCCTACACCCCCCCCAAAGAGCTAGGGTCCAAGAGCGGAACCTCTACCATCGTTTCAATCCAGGAAAAGGATGTCCACAGCCAACCGACATCTGGCAAAGGGACTGATAAATCCGATACCGGTAGAGAGGCTGTTGAGTTTAACTTGGACAGGGAGGTTCAAACCAGTTCTCATGTCGAAGTTGTGGAACCCACTCCATCTGGAGAAGTCGCAGAGGAACCTGAGGAGTCCAGTGACATTGTTGACCAGGACGCCTGGATAAATGTGGGGACCCATCCAATTATTCTCTGCACAACCCAAACTAACCCCGTGGCAATATCAGGCCATGCTCGAACGAACCACGATCTTTGCCGGCAACAAATATAAGAGAACCTAAATACTTGTTGAGACCTACTTGTATCATATACGTTATCCGGCCTATACTACCAGATAGCTACGGCATTGGTGGTTGATAAGTGTCATATCGGATTTCGTGTCTTTCACTTTAGTTTTCGCTTCATCAGATGTGCTAAATCAAATAAGTAAATAATCAAAATCTGGAAATGGAAGCGAATTCATAGCTTGGCTAGAATAGAATTACCTAGACACCATAGCACATTCAGTTGGTATTTCAGAACTTGTTGGATTGTGAGCAAAGGCAAAATATATCTATATTTTCACAGAAAGCCGCCCAAAACAGCTAGAAAATCCATACAGTACAGATACTTGTTATCCCGGCATCAGTAAACATAAAATTAGAAATCCAGAAAGACAAAAGAGAAATAGCTCCCAAACAAGTATCAATCAGGGCAATCCAAGCACCAGTGCAAACTATCATGACAGTTATTTCGTAAAATGCAACAAAAAACAAAAAACCTTAGCTCTTCAATGCTTCCAATCGCTCTCTCATATCCTCGAGACCCATCTCGGAGCCCTCTTCGACCTCCTCCCCCTTCTCGAGTTGCGAGGGAACGGCACCTGTTTGTTCCAACTTTCCACCCATGATCTCTCCAAGGATCTTTCCCACCTCGGTCTCCACCTCTTCGTCATCCTCCTCAAGAGCATCGCCGGGTAACGAATCAGCAACCATCTCCTCAATAATGCCAGCCCTGACAAGCTCCATGCTCAACTCCCTCATTGTTCCGGTCAACTCGGGCAGCCTCACAAGACTATTTACATCCTTCATAACGCTCGTGGAGGCTTTAATGCTACCCTCAATCTTTCTCACTGAGAAGGCCTCATTTACTTGCATCCCTACAGACTGAAGTTGAGCCTTGGAGGTAGCTAATCTCGAGGACTGCCGTCGAATGCGGACGAGCTCACGCGCGAGGATACGTGTTTGTTGCGCGCTGCTATTGGATTTTGAATTTGAGGTGTCAAGTATCATCTTCTTGGTCTTCGTTTCGAGGAGCCGGAGGCTTTGCATGTGTCTGTCGAGCTCTCGAGCGTTCTTGCGAAGTAGGGCGTTGCATTTCCGTAGCTGCACCCGTGAGCCTCTTCCTAAGCTACGAGGAGGGTGGATGGGAGGTCTTACCTGGACGGCTGGATCGGGTTTCCAGAAGATTGCCTTGAGTGATTCCATGACTGCTCGCCGGATGGTTTGAGAGTTCTTGGGAGAGGGGTGAGGTTGTGCGCTGTGCAGTGATGAAGCTTGATTATTTGGCGTTGGTGGTCGGTTTGCCGAGACATCTTCGACGAGGTTTGGGAGTAAGGATAACTGGGCCCGCGACTCAGTGACTTCAATTAATTGCCCAAAACAGTAATTTTAATATGTATTACGTTGAGATGGACAGAGTTAAGCCGATGGCAGGCGGTTATTGATGGTGGGGAAAAGGTTAACCCCCAGCTCCTCGTTGTGGGGGGAATTTTCATTCGATTCAATTCCCTGAGCTTCGCCCAAAACGAATGAAATAGAAAGAAAGAGAAGAAAAGATTAAACTCACAAAACAAAGACATCGCTCAATAAGAGTCAGCCGCATCCAGGTTACCCTTCAAGAAGGTTCGATAGCAGCAGACGAACGTTACTTTCCGCATAACTCAACCCACCCTACCCTTACCACAAACAATCACCACCAGTCTCTTGTGACGAGCCAACTCATCTCTTCTCTCTTCATCTTCTCTCTTCACTGCTCTTCCCCTCTTCAACTAATCTATCATCCACACTTCAACTTTCCACCTCTACCAAACATGTCTTTACCAACTACTATTCCTGAAGGTATGCCTTCCCCACATCCCCGCTGCGGCTTTCCCCGCCGATCGTTTACTTGAACAACCCCCACCCTGAACAACCAGTTTGGGAGCGTCTCCTAATCAATCGCAATATGCATACCCCCAACGGGGCTGTTTTCGAACGCCTAGTCACTTTCTTCCTCTGCTGGAAAAAAGCTCTGATTAATATCACGGATGATTTGTGCTGACGTGATGCAGTTCTTTGGGCCCAGCGTTCTCATGAGGAAGATGGCACCAAAAACATCATCTATCTTACCATAACAGCACCAGACTGCCCCCCAGACTCGGTTGAATTGGATCTTGAGCCAACAAAGGTCCACTTCAAAGGAAGCAACAAAGTTAAAACTTTCTGTGTGGATCTGGAGCTCTATGCAGAGATTGATGTCGAAAACTCGAAACAACACTTGAGTGCACGAGGCGTTGACCTTGTCCTTCGCAAGAAGGAATTTAAGACAGAATTCTGGCCGAGACTTTTGAAAGAAGCCAAGAAGGCACATTACCTTAGAACCGATTTTGATAAGGTTTGTTGATTGGTCTCATCTCCTAGATAATATCTGACTCAATGCTAACTAACCCATCTGTTGCTAGTGGGTCGATGAGGATGAGCAAGAGGATGAAGGATCGGGTTTTTCTGATATGCCCGGTGGTGGTGCTCAATTTGGCGGTGGAGACGATTCTGGCGGTTTTGGTGGCATCGACTTTTCGAAGCTCGGAGGCATGGGAGGTATGGAAGGCATGGATATGAGTGCTCTCCAAGGGATGAATTCCTCCGGTGGCGCCGATGACAACGGCGATGTGAGTTCCTCGGATTTGAGAACCCCTACGAGTGGAACTAATTCTTTCTAGGACGATATGCCCGAGCTTGAAGATAGTACCCTCGAGAAGTCTGAGGATACCGAGGCTACTGAAGCCACTGAAGCCACTGCTCCTGCTACTGAAGCGGAGACGTCCTCGGGTATCGAAGAGATCTCGGAGGACAAGAAATGATTGCACCGCGGAGTTTCTCGACGGGGTATCGGCATCAATTGCCAAAAAAAAAAATGGGAGGGGGTTCTTGAATTCAGAGTGTAGGGTTAATGCATTGGCGATTAATATGCACATATTCTGTCTTAATCACCGTGACTCCTTTATGATATATATACTGAAAGCTGTGTGACCTTTTGCATTTTAAGGCGATTATCTGTGTTGTCATTCATGTTCAACTTGCCAGTCCCCATACAGGTATCAGGAGCCTCCACCAACATAAAAGTAGGATGACTCGACGGAATGTAGGTGGTAGGCTTTTAGCGACTCTCCTAGAGTATTCTCCAAGGTCTACCGCTAGTAAGGTAACTTATAGGGCGAATTATCGTATTATCAGAAAGAGGAAAGAAAATAATGCGACCTATTTTTATCAACCCCTCTTCAGGCATCTACAACTCCTCACTTCCCCTCCAAGACCACCCCAACCCCGCCATGGAATCAAAAATGAAAAAATGAAAGAAAGTAAAAAATGAAAGGTAAGGCACCTCGTAAATGCAGAACAAACCCACCCACCCAGCCTCATGAACAAGGAAATTTTCTTTTAAACGCAGGCGCAATGCCGGACAAAAAAAAAAAAGAAACATCCATCTACAGAGCATCCGACAAGGAAAGATGGCATTTATGTGATTCAGGTACTTCCATAGCGCTTCAGATTGCTATCGCCTTCGCCTTCGAGAGCTTGAGTTTCTTGACGCAGTGCATTGAGGTCGAAGGCGCCGTCATCCTCGCCAGAGGATTCCTCGTCTTCGCTGCCGTTCCTCCAGTCGCCCTTCTCGAATAGTGCCCTTCCGGTCGCTTCCTTTGCCCTTCGGGCTTCCTCCTCAGCTTCCTTCTTGGACATGCGTTCGGATTTCCATTTTTTGAAGGTCTCTTCGGTTACAGGGGTCAGTGCACCGGTGAGTTCATGCCTAACCGTTGTCAGCACCCTTAAGAACTATACCATGAAAAGGCAATGGGGCAGTTCCCTACCGTCGAGCTTCTAAGAAGTCTTCCAACGTAAGTGTCGCCAGAGGAGACTTATCCATCAATGCTTTTTCCGCAGCCCTCTGCTCCTTCGTCTTTAGGACGAAGCCTGGAGGCAACGAATGTTTATATTTGCAATCATTACCGCCATTTGGACCTGTAGCTATTAGCTCTCGGTTACATCAATTTACCAACAAGAATCAGCAAGGGCCCCTACATTGCCAGAACCACCCATACTTTCCGTTTTCCACTGCCTCAATAAAGTGCTTGCAAACCTTATCAGTAGTAGTCTTCGGATTCCCATGTTTACTCAAAACAACACTGCGTAGTTTCTCCTCATCCCAGTTATCACTCGTCTCTTCCTTCTTCTTCTCATCCTCGGCCTCCTCCCCTCGGGAATCTTCATAAAGGTTCTTCTTTTGTGACTTGCGCTCAATACTCAGGTCATGAGAGAACTTGCATTTACGACCCTTCTCGCAGTTGCCGTTCTTGTAGTAGACGCACAGCACACTCTTGGGGTCCACACCGAAGGGAACCTTCTGGGTTTGTACAGGTTTGAAAAGTTCGGCGACTTCCTTCTTTGCTGCCTCGGCCGCTTTCTTCTCCGCTTCGCGCTGGGCTTTTTCTGCTTCTTTGCGTTTCTGCTCAGGAGTGCCGGACGCGGATGCTTGTGAGGCTAACTGGGCTATCTGTTTTTGGGCTTTTCCTCCTTTTTTCTGCTCTTCGTGAGATGGTTCCAATTCCGCCTAAGGATAAAAAATGTTGGGGTGGGTAGTTGAAGACGACGTACGTTTTTGAGACCGAATGTCTAGACGTGGAGAGTCTTAGTTTCGTGACGCTTTCCACGGTATCGGGGAACGGGGGCTTGCCTTGTCCTGAACCACCTTCTGAACGGAGGGTTTAGCGTTCTTGACGTCTTTCTTTGGCGGCATTGTAACTATTGCTGTTCTAGTTGGTTATGGCGGGTGTATCTGCCTGCCTGTGCGAGGAGGTAGCTGGGTTGTAGAGTACGCTGCTCGGGTGTCAAAAGTTCGGTGAAGAAACTTATGGTAAAGTGGGTTCGAGATGCTTGGCGGGCACCGGAGTGGAGGTTGGAGGTTGCCGCTAGGAACTGTTCGCGAAGCGGTAAAGCGGCGGCTGATCAGAGAATCACAACGGGATGGAGAGTACGGCTGGTTAGGTTTCTGCGAGTACGATACTCGAACACAGCATTGAGGCCGGTCGGAATGTCAATGATGGAGTTTGTGGCTCTGTGGGCAACGAAGGGAAACACGCAGTACCGGTATTATCATATTATATCGTAACATAACCCCTACCGGCACTTCTCTAGCACAGAATACTACATAGAGCCTAAGATATACTCGACCGATGAGTATGATAGGAGATTACCATGGTTCACTGGGCTATCCGACCATGGCGTAAGAATGATCTCCCCCACGGCATTAATAGCACGGTATCATAGTTTTACAATACGATGCCTGCACTATACCACGGGTAGGTTTACTTAGGGCATGGCCGTGCTTTATTGCGGCCTGCTCCCTAAGTTACTTACTGTAACTTGCTGTATGATAATAATATTACTATGATAAAAACCGTCTCTTTCTTTTATGGTAGAATCATATACCTCACCAATGAATGATAGAAAAGCTAAAGAGCTCGACAACCATGGTGTGCATTCCATAGTGGGCCCATGTCTCGCTTGGTTGTTCTTTAGAAAAAGTTGATTCCCAAGGATATCGCTCCATTAGGATATCCCCTTTCCCTTATTTGCACTACGACATACGCTCTTATTCATTAGACTATCATAGGTTTTGTAGGACTTATCTATCATCACCACTAACTCTATTTGCTTTAGTAGATACGCGCCGTATTTTTGACACCCGATAATACATACGAGAATCATACCGTCATATAGTACCAGTAGATGATAAGTCACGTCATTTACTAAGCATTCGGAAGGGGGTTTTCTCAAAAGTGCTTCTGGAGTTTGTGTATAATAATATTATAATAAATAATGCCTAGACCAGTTAAACGATGGCCTGCCATGCGAGAGGCTCCGAAAATGTTATTGTTTTCCTGTTGCTGATGACTGAAATCTGTGTACGGTATTGACGAAGACAATTTACGCAGGCTAGGAGTATGTACAACTAGCGGGTGGAAGGTCTTGGCACCTCCTTGCAAATTATCATGAAATTAATCATGATCGCAACAACACCCAAGGCCATAACCTACCATGCCACAAGCACGTCCTCCTAAAAAGTACCTCAGTCTGGATGATAGATTCCATATTATTAGTTTACAGATACAACAGAAGTCCTGGAAAGAGATTATCCATGAAACAGGAGAAAAAAAAAGCACTATTCGCAACAGCGTTACCTGCTTTCTCAAGCATGGTACCTACCATAACCTTCCCAAACCCGGCTGGAGGAGAAAATTGGATAACCATGGCCTGAGGCACTTAGAACAAGCTGTTCTAAAAGAGCCTGCAGCCACAATCCAGAATCTCGTACAAGAGGTGACATTGGACTCCAGAGAAAGCGCAGTAAAGAGAGTATTTGTAACATGTTCACAAAGTGCTAATCACGTTATTGGTAATAGATACGATAGTCAGCAGGTGGCCTGCTCTTCCAGAGAGGAGGCGAGAACTGAGAACTAAAGAAGGCTTCAAGAGTGTACTGAGGAACAAAAGAGTAACCGTTCAACCAAGTATATTGAAATACTGTCTGTCAAAGTCTGCCTTTTCCATCGTGAAATCAGGCGGTCTGTCACGAACGTGGCTTAGTGAGGAAAGGGTTTTCACGTGACACATGGTTATGAGTCACAGGTATGTTATTGTTTCATGCATATAACCTATTCGGGTTGTATGATTAGTTATGTGTGGGATTTGTGATGCTTTCGCACATGGCTCAAGTATGAGTCATGGGACATGCGCCTGACGAGTATGCCTTACGAGTATGCCTTACGGGCAAGCCTTGCGCATATGATTTATGTTTCACACATGAGCTCATTATGATGTCATGGGTTTCGTGCATATGACTCAGTCGAGTCATATGACTTGTTTATTGCGTTATGATTGGTTTATGAGTTTCGCACATGACCTCGCTATGAGGTCATGGGTTTTGAGCATGTGATCACTTTGGTCATATGACTAGTTTGTTATGATTTAGTTTCGCACATGTGACCACTTTAGGTCACATGACTAAAGGCGGGAAGAACACTATATAAGGAGGTCGATGTGGCCGAGGAAGATAGGTTCTTCACGCTTTGTTCTAAGTACTTTTCCTACTTATTACTTTAACGAATATAAAACACCTTTACGATCTTTATCTTTATTGCAACGTTATCGTTACGCCAAGGAAGGCGCTTTACGAAGAAGAGTTAGAGAAAGCTTACGATAGGCATTCCCAGTAGAAGACAAGGATCTTGTACTATCGGTAACGTAGGCAGAGGCCTAGAGCTATCGTAAGACAAAGGAAGAAGAAGACAGGAAGAGAAGTATCGTTCCCCATCGCCAAGTATTAACTATCCAGAGAGGGATTATTACATTACAAAGCGTCACCTAGTGCGACGCCAAACGATACAAGACGGCATCCTTCAACCCAGATCGGGAAGGAGATATTGACATCGACGATCAAAATCTTAATCTAGGAGGATTCAGCGACGCCCTAGATCACATCTCAGCAGAACCCTCGAGAGCAGCAAGCCCAGTAACCCCAAAGAAAGGATCACCAGTCGATAGCTCTCCTGCTGGAACGCCACGACCCGAGAGAATGTCGGGATCCGCTGTACCTGGGCCGCCAGCCCCAGCCGCTCCGGCACCAGGAACCAGCATACTTGGAATGACTGAAAATCAGTTTCAGGCATTTCGTGCAGCCACGTGAAATACAGGGCAAGGAAATGTCCAACGACCAAAAGCAAAGAAGCCCGACACATACGAAGGAGCCGAAGATAAGCTACGAATATTCTTAGCGCAATGCAAGGGATACTTTGCAGTTAAGGGATACGGAGATCACCATGATGAAATTAAGATTCCATATGTAGAATCTCTACTCAAAGGACTCGCGGGACAATAGATCATGCTCTTCCAAGATGGAAGAAAACAGAGGGAATGGGTTACGTACGAAGAGTTCAAGGCGACACTCTTTGAACAATTTGGAGACCCCAATGCCAAAGAAACAGCAAGACGAAAGCTAGAAAAACTCCAACAAGGAAATAAACGTTCTCAGCATACTGGAACGAATGTCGACTGTTGGAATACAAGGCCGAGTTTGATGACGCAACTCTCTACATCATCCTCTTGAGAAACTGCAGCGAGAGACTCTGAGAGGCATGGGGAATCTCTGACCTGCGCTATACGACAGCCGAACGATTTGCAAGATGGGCAATCGACAAAGAAAGCAAATTAAACATGGTTCGGAGCAACTCGGAAAATACTATAGCACATAGGGTGGTCCAATCATCCAGGAATGTGGACGGGACCTTCAAACGGCAAGCACCTCGAGGAGAAAGTCGCGCATTACCACCAGGCAAACCAATAGAATTGGACAAATCAAGAGTAGGGCCTGCTCTGAATCTGTCTAAGGAAGAATACGCCAGAAGAATGAATGGGAAACTATGCCTAAGGTGTGGAAAAGCAGGGCATCAGATACGAGAATGCAGAAGCCGACTGGACAACGGATACCAGGGAAACAGAGCTACTGGAAATAATCGTTTCGAAAATCAGAAAAGAAGCAACATCCGCGAAATGATAGCAGAGGATTCACCGGCGGAAAACGAAGAGGGTCCCCAGTAAACGGTGGTCTGGGAGACCCAAGATGTGGACCTGGAAAACCCATCAAATTAGCGAACTACTACACGGCACTACACACGCAAAGAGGAGAAGGAGATGGAGATCATGTGATGATCAAAACGAAGATATACAACAGAGAAAGAGAAGAAACAACAATATATGCAATGCTCGACTCGGGAGCCACTGAAGACTTCATCGACAAAGAAATATGCGACAAATACGGCCTCCACACCAAACAAGCGAAGAAAGTAAGACAAGTCTACCTAGCGGATAGAAAGCCAAGTGCTATGGGTCCTATAACCCATACGGCGACAGTACCTATGGACATTGACAGCCATAGGGAAACGGCAACCTTTCAAGTGGCAGATCTAAAGAACCATGAGATAGTCCAAGGGATGCCATGGTTACAGAAGCATAATCCAACGATCGATTGGAACGAGAACAAGATAACATTTACAGGTGAACTATGTGCGACACAATGTCTCAACAGTTCACCTGTAGTCTACTCCACACCAATACGAGAAGTGGAAGAAGAAACTTTGCATGCAAAGTTTGCCGAGATGCGACAAGACAAAAGGGTCCAGATACAAAGACTGGACCAAGAGGCAAAAGTGCCTACCAAGGGTTCCAAAGGGGCAGCAGGACACGACCTATATGCCAATGAAGGAATCAAGATACCAGCCAACGGGCAGGCAACAATAGCAACGGGAATAGCCATTGGACTCCCAGAAGGCACCTATGGACGAATAGCACCCCGCAGTGGTCTAGCAGTCAAACACCAACTCATGACCATGGCAGGAGTGATCGACGTCGACTATACCGGTGAAATCAAAGTGGTCCTGGCCAACCTAGCTCAAGAGGACTACCAATTCCAGAAAGGCGATCGAATCGCAAAGTTGATAATCGAAAAAATCAACAAAGAGGATCTGCATGAAGTAGATCAACTGGAAGAAACTATGAGAGGAAACAAGGGATTTGGAAGTACGGACCAAAACCAGCTCGATACAACAAAAAGAATTGAGATCAAAGAGATCACAGTACAAGTCTTTGGACGATATTATCGAAGAGGAGACACAACAGGAATTCTCAAATGGACATACAAAGACGAGAAAGCAGTTCTAGCAAAAATGAACATCAGCACAGAACTAGCAATCCAGGACAAGAAATACCAAAGCAAAAAGGGATGGAGAGAATTAGTTCCAAAAGAATATCACCAATTCACAAATCTATTCCAAGAAGAGGAAGCTATGG